CTCTCTCTCTCTCTCTCTCTCTCTCTCTCTCTCTCTCTCTCTCTCTCTCTCTCTCTCTCTCTCTCTCTCTCTCTCTCTCTCTCTCTCCTTTCTGCATGTACTCTAATTACAGATATGAGAACGACAGTATGAGAATGATGTTCCTGGTTCTCTGATCCCCAAGTTATTCGCTACGATTGGATAATAAACATCAACTGACATGTGGCAGAGATTCACAAAGGGAGTGAAGTGCTCTGCAGTTGAGTCGTTTTTTTTGTGCATGTCAAGAGTGGTGGAGCTTTATTGACCTCGCACTCAATTCCTTTGTCATTGGGTGTCCTCGCACTTAATTTCTTTCGAAAAGAGTGGTGGAACTTTATTGACTGCTGCTTTCCTTTTCTTTCTTCTCTGTCTCCTTCTGCTCCGGCTCCTCCCTGCCTTTCTTCACGAACGCCATCGTTCTTCTCCTTCTCTTTCTTTTGCGTCTTCTCGTTCTTCTTCTTCTCTTTAACATTTCCCTTTCATCCTCCTCATCTCTCGCCTTTCGTTTTGTCTGTCTAGTTACATCACGTCTCCCTACCCTCTATGGGCCTCGCTCCACTATTCACAACATGTGCAAAATGAGATTGAATCCTCCACTAAGACATGGAAAGGCACAGTGTCATATTTTTTGTCTTTTGTACATGTCGAGAGTAGTGGAGCTTTGTTGACCTCGCCCTCAGTTTCTTTCGAAAAACACACTTCGTGCTCACTGCGGGAGAGTTTGCAGACGTCCTGAACGAGGCACCAGATCATGCACACGAACACTCCCAAACTCCACATGCATTTGGCTTCTTTTCTGGACCACGTACATTTCCCTATCCTTGCCCGACTGTCGTGCGCCGATAATTGACGAAAAACCGACCCTATCCTTGCCCGACCGTCGTGCACCCAGAATAATTGAAGAAAAACTGAAGGTGTTCCCTCCAGTGCACAAAACTCTGCATGTGTTATGACACTTTTCTGGACCGCATATATTGAAAGCCTCCAAATAAGTGTCGATTGTTGCATAGTGGCATGGCCCCAATGATCTGCAGAAACATGAGGAATGAAATGTCTTTCTAAGAAAACGGTTTGACCACTCTCCCTTTTGCACCTCGATCCTCACTCCCTCCGGGCTGCGCCTCCGCAATGTGTGCGGTACACAGTATCATGGAATTGAGGGTTGCCACCCTGATAGGTGTCATAATTGAGCTATGAATGTCAGCTATGATGACTGACAGAGAATTCAACCTGAGAACTCCATTTGAGAATTCTTTTATTGGGTGTGCCCCGACCGGCCACAGCAGAACCTGAGCAGCCACTTCCACCTGGCCTGACGCTCCCGCATTGCCACGGGTTACAGGGCGGCACAACACACCCCAGTTGTGTCGGGGCAGCATTGACTGGCCTTGCCCTTCCTCCTCAGGCCACTCAGGCCAAAGTGAAGCCAGCACCTACTCGGTGCCACTCAGGCCAAAGTGAACCCAGCACCTACTCGGTGCCACTCAGGCATGAAACCTTCTGAGCTAGCCGACGGGACGTTGGACCTGGCCTTCAGATCTGGCGCCCGTCCCTTCCATGTGACCTACTTTTAGAATTTAGGGGATTGACCAAGGGGGGAAAAAGGGTAGGGATTTCTTTACGGGCAGTGATTCATATTTCCTTTTCTTTGCTGGCAGTATTTCCTTTTCTTTTGGTGGCTGATCTGTGTGTTAAACTGTGTGTTTCACTCTCTTTTGCATTACATTGCATTGTTAGGGATTGCCCTTACCACAAGCGGAACTCCATTTGGAAAAGTGGGGACCGAACAAGATTTCCCCTCCGAAAGAGACACATTGGCTTATCAAGTACTTGAAGTCATATACAGATCTTTTTGCAGTGTTGTTGATGATTGCGGGTGTTTTCTGCATTGCTGTTTATGTCATGGACCCGGTGGAGAACCATGTTGAAGTAAGCCACTGCAATACCATCTTCATCTATCCCCTCGCTTCATGAATTCTACTGATTCCCAAATAATACGCAAGGTGATTATGTTATGTGCCTGATTGAAAACGACTCCAGCATAGCATACACATGTTCCCATACACATGCGAAATTGCAAGTAGACTTGGAGAGAGAAAATCCACACCAAACCGGATGATGAAATTGCACAGCGGAAGCACACAAATACCAAGATTAGAATTGAAACGAAATCAATTCTAATTTACCGTCTCTCCCAGTTCAATCAACAGCACAACTCCAAGAATCCCAACCACGTTAACAACATCTATGAACAAATTATTTACAGAG